AACGCCCTGTACAAGAAGGGCCTAAGTCGCCTCTTTCTTCTGAGGAGGCTTAGGTCCTTCTGACTTTTTATGACTCTGTGGTAGCCTCTGCCATACACTACGCTGCCGTGTGCTGGGCCCCGGGCAGCACAGAGCGGGACAGGAGTAGACTCAACAAGCTGGTCAGGAAGGCAAGCTCCACTTTGGGCTGCCCCCTGGACGCTGTGGAGGAGGTGACGGACAGGAAGGTGCTAACCAAAGTCACCTCCATCATGGACAACACCTCCACCCACTGGACAGGACTGTAGAGGAGCTGTGGAGCTATCTCAGTGGAAGACTGAGGCACCCTCAGTGCAAGAAGGAGCGCTACCGCAGGGCCTTTATCCCCACCGCTGTCAGACTGTACAATAAGTCACTTGCATTAGGACTGAAAAACCTGCACTATTGACACTGTTTCTTGATTGCCACTTTTTATTGTACATAAAATATCCTGCATTTAATATGTTTGCACATTTCTTTCTTTAGCACAATCTTGAGTGTTTCTATCCATGCCAGATGTGACATGTAGTTTTCTCCTGTGTGAGAAACCCTAACCCTAACCCTAAGAAGTCTATCTTATCTTATCTTAAACGTTTGTTCTGTAAAAATACTAGGGCTGCACAATATATTGAAACAATGATTGTCCTTGTGATATTAGCAAGTGCAATATTCATACTGTATACTGAGCCCGTTGCTTCTTTGAAGCATAGATAGTTTTTACTTTGACAATCAAGCATGTCTGTAAATGAGCACAGCTTGTCTTGTGGTTGAGTTGCTGGAACTAACAAAACACAACATGGCGGGAGAAGAGATGAGCAATAAGGAGAGCAGCGGAAGACTTGCAGTTCTGCAGTTCATTTGGAGGGCATTGGCTTCACAAGAAACAATGTGTTACTGAAACAGATAATCAATGTCCAGTTGGTTGCTTTGACTCCCTGTATTTTGTAGTTCTAATCCCTCAAGACCCTAGACCCTCAATAAATAATTCTGTGTGAACAGAGTGCAGAGTGCTGGGACCATTGGAGGTTATCCTCTACGATACATGGGTTTTTTAGGGAAACCCATAGAGTGTTTGAAGGAGAGAACAAACTGAAGTTGGCCATAGCTTTTGGCTTTTTCTGGAAGAAGCTGATGTGATTTTTATCTCAAACTGGCTCCATGGGGATAGCAACAACCCAGCAACTAAAGAGCCAATCAGGAGTGGTCTGTTCCTGCTGGCTCTATTAGCTTGAGTAAGTCAGGGATAGAAGGCACCTGATAGGTCAGTTATTAGGGCTCATCTCCGATGGTAAGTGTGACACAAACGGTTACAGAGTAAGAAGATGAAAGTCAATGGGAGCTAAAGAGAGTATGAGCAAAGCTTCACTTCATCAAGATAGGGGCTTCACACTGTCCATCCCTGAATACATTCCAGCCGGACACAGCGAGAATCATAAAATCTGCACACAGACCCAGGGTCAAGCACAGGGATTGAACCTGCAACCTTCTGCCTGTAAAGTGTAACTGCTGAGCACACGCTGTTTGTCCAGGTATGAGGGGGAGGACCTGTGTAAAAACACAGCCGTCTTTATGAGTGATTCACATCATTTCATGAGTTTTGAAATGTATGAGCACAAAAGAGTTCTTTGAAAACTGGACTTTGTCATGAGGAGAGTCGAGCCAAGCCCTGTTAGTATCAGTCCAATCAACTATAAACTTTCTGTTCTGCTTTAGCCCTGTACATAACAGTATGTCCTTCACTATGTGTTTCTGTGTCTGAAACACAATTTGTGATCCGTGCAGAACACTTGTCTGTGTTGCTCTCCAGTGGTTGACAAGATGTACTGCAGACTCCCTTTTTAAGGAACAAATATTTTAAAGCATTTATGTTTGGAATAATCCAATCTAGTGAAATGAAAAATAAAAAAACAAAAGATGCAAAAGAGGCATGTGAGGGTCAGCAATATTGAAAATAATGAATGAATCGATACAATTCAGTCTTTTCTCGATGAGAGTTGAGACTACATACATTTGTTTGTAAATGTGTTACGTGTTTGAACAAGATTAAAAATCCCCTTATAAAAGATAAACCACAAAATCACAAGTTGTGTATCATAGATGATACTTGACACTACTTGACCACAAATTTAAGATATAGTATTTCCAAAAAAACTGAATGGGATATTGTCCTCTTTAGCAGGTGATGCCCCCATACCAGACTGCTCAGATGCCAAACGCCCAGCCGCCAAGAATTCTGGTATTTGGTAGTAATAAAAAGTACTAAAAAAGAAACCAAAAAGTCCTAGTTTAGACCGCATTTTGATTCAAACAGAAATATGAATTTGACCTTTCATTTGCAGTTTATAATGACAAGTTGATACCAGGGGTCAGAGCGGGGCTAATAACTCATCATATCTGCATGCATGCACATTGTTTCCTAAGTTGGTGTCTAACAGAATTATTGCAGCTCGTTTGAAGTGTCCGTGCTAAATGTTTTGGGGCCAGTTCTGGACATGACACACTTCAGAGAAAATGCCCTGGAGTTAAAACATTTCGCCGCTGCCTGACGTGTGACCTCTGCACTGGTCAGAGCCGTAAATCTGCAACACTCTACAACCAATGATCCTCAATGACTAATGTGGAAAACTAGGGACTCAGGGTCATGCACTAAAAACACATGCTCAGGCTAATGTGTGGGCATGTAATAGTGTCAGGTCACTTGCACTTGTTCAGCTCATGTTGGTCAATTTTATTTTATTTTTTTGTATATATGATATGATTTTGTATCTTGACATAACTTTATCGACTTACACATTCACTTGGCAATACAGCAGGAGGCGCCAAACACAATTGTTTTATCCGCTAAAATGAAATAGTGGTTTTTGCAACTAAGATAATCATCTAAAGTCTGGTAGATAGTAAATACATAAAGTTTTTAATGGATTATCCCTTGTACTGTTGTTTTAAGAAGTGGTTTATGAAGCCAAATTAGTTAGATTTGTTTATACAAAAAGATCGTTTATACAACAAGAGGCCAACAGACTTCAGAACCAAGAACAAAAACAAAATAAATAAATAATATAATTAGGGCTGTCAAAATTATCCCGTTAACTCACGTTAATTACATTTTTCCTTAACGCGTTTAAAAAAAATATAACGCATTAACGCATGTCCGACTGACCCGCCCATTTATCCATTATATCACTCAGAATGCTGCGTGTGAGATGGCATCAGAGCAGGTACTGTAGGCCCTCTGGGAATTCAAGTTTTAAAAGAATACACGCGTGACTGCGGGGCTATTGTTTGCTCTGAACTGAAGTCCGCCTCCTCCGCGGCCCCTCTGGTTGTTGTTAGCGGCTGCAGCTGACAACAACACGGCTATGAGCGGCTGTGAGCGAATGCCGTTGCGGTAACATGGTCATTTAAGACCATACACGCCACTGAACTATTCTCTGCATGTTGTGTTCGTTTATTTGCAACCTGTGCGTAACCTGCGCACGCAAATACAGCGCGAAAGTGTCCCTGTCTCCTCCTGAAACTAAACTAAACTAAACTAACTGAATTAAACTTTGGTACAAAAATTTCCCCCTTTCATTAACAGCTCATTTTGGTTGTGTCCAAAAGCAAAATGTTGTGAGCAAATCTAACAGATTTAAGTACATTTGGTATTAATGACAATGTGTAATTACATTTGATAATCTCATTTAACTTCAATTGAAGTGGATTTGAAATAGAATGTTAAAAATGCGATTAATCGTGAGTTAACTCACCATTACTGTGCGATTAATCAACTAAAAAAATTAATCGTTTGACAGCCCTAATTATAATAGATCCGCGCTACTGCCACAATGATAAAGCCTGTACTAATCTACTTTTGCACGAGATTATGCTCATTATAAGAGATTTTGTCCAATTCATAACATTATAAAAAAGGTTATACATAATAATTTATTGTTAATTTATTTATTGTTTGTTTTTTATTAAAAAAAATTTCCCAAGTAAGCCACAGAAAATTTGCACATATTTCCCAGGCTAAACCTTCACATAGCATATGCTAATATGCTCTGTTAAGGCTGCGAGTCAGATGTATAGATTACATCTTCGTGTTTTAGTCCTAAGGTTATGTATAACCTTATAATAATTAAGTGCATTTATTGTTTGTTTTTGTTTTTTCAGTAAGCCGCAAAAAGTTTCCCAAGCAAAACCTTCTCAGAGCATATGCTATTATGCTCTGCTAAGGATCTTTCAAACTGCAGAAACATTTACAAGTGATGACGTATTATTCCTCCTGTTTTTATTCTATTCATAACCTTATAAAATAAGGTTATGAATAGACCTTATAAAATAAGTTTATGAGTAGGACGGGAAAGATAAGGTTATACATAATAAATTATGTATAACCTTACTTTTGTATAACCTTATAAAATAAGGCTAATATGCTCTGCTAAGGATCTTGCAAACTGCTGAAAGATTTGTGTGAGATGTAAAGATTACATTCTCCTGTTTTTGTCCTATTCATATCCATAAAAAATAAGGTAAATTATGTCTAACCTTATAAAATAATTATTATGTATAACGTTATCTTTTGAGGTTATACACAATAATTTATAATTTACAGACCAAGGTCACCCAAAGCGCTTTACAATGTTCAGAGTTCAGATATTGTTCCAATCATTCCACACACGGAAGCGAGTCGCCAAACACACTGGCGCATCAGCTCCCAATCAACACCATCCATTCACTCTCATTTACATTCATACCTATTGTGCATGTTTTTAGTGGTAGGGGAAACCGGAGCACCCGGAGGAAACCGATTCAGACACGGGGAGAACATGCCAACTCCACTCAGAAAGGCCCTGTTCCGACCGGGATTCGTACCCAGGACCTTCTTGCTGAGAGGCGAGAATGCTATCCACTCAGCCACCGTGCCACCCATGTATTAGCAGCGGCAGTAGTAGTAGTAGCAGCATTAGTTAGGAGCAACAGAAGTAGTAGTAGTAGAATCAGCAGTAGTTCATAGCGATCTCGGCCTCCAGTTTGACTCTGATGTTGAGCAGGGCCTGATACTCCTGCGTCTGCTGCTGGATGTTTGCTCGCAGCTGCGTGAGTTCCTCCTCGGAGGGTGTTGTACTTCTCCATCTCCATGTTGTTCCTCATCTCCGTGTTCCGCAGCGTGTCCTCCAGAGACGCTTTCTGCACATGATGAAGACCACAAGTTTTAGATCATTCTCATAAGCCACCTGTGTCCCCTTGCCTTTCTTTCATTTTGTTCTTCAATGTTAATTATTTTATGTTTTGTAAAACGACTTAAAGCGTCCAAAAATATATGTATTATTATTATTATTACACAAACGTTACATTACAAAATTACAATACACCCCTAGCTCTATGAAGCCTTATAGGGATGTGCTCATGGAGAAAGTGCTTTGACTCCATGCAAAATTAAATATGAGGGTGGTCATCTCTCTTATTCCCTGTTCTCTCTGAAACAGCTGATCTAGATAGACTGTGCCGGTAAAAGTCAGTGGTTTAGCTATTTGGATTTATTAAAAAAATATCATAATAGATCCAATCAAGTGCCTTCTGTCCACAAATTTGGCTTTGGCTCGCAAGTGGTGAGAGCAGGAACAGACCAGCGCTGGCCCTGATTAGGTCCTTTGGTTGCTAGGTTGTTGCTACCCACAAATTTGGCTCCAGATTCCCGACCATGGACCCTGCTCGGTTAGTCCACTTGACTCCTTCTAGGGTTTATGGGTTGTGGTTGTTTTCCTTTTATGAAATTAGCTTTAAAACGATGCCATATTTGCCCAGCCCCTCATTAAAGTTGGATGTCCACTAGGGGGCAACAAGACACCTTTTGTTTTGTTCTTACCAGACTCTGTTGCGATGCCAGTTCGATCTCCAGCGTCTGAATCTGTCGGGTCAGATCGCTCTTCTCTATCTGTGCGCCTTGAAGAGCCTCTGTGTTCTGGGAGACCTGCACCTGCACGTCTGCGATCTGAAACCAAAACACAAAGCAGGACGTCAGCACAACACAAACAACATTTCATATCATCAACATTTGTTTAGATCGAGGGAAGGATCATTCATAAAGTGTGAAGAAGGTGTGAGCAAAATACATTTGAGGGCATAAGTGCTTGCCACATCATTCACCAGTGGACCATTTACCTTAAGCAATGTTCTCAGAGCTGCATGCCGCCACCAAGACGAAGAAAGAGGATCTGATTGTGTCTCTTCCCACTGCAGACCGACATGTCAAACTTAGATGACCATTCCTGCACAAAACAGGAGAAAGACGTATGCTCCAGGTCACGTACAGCTTCACCCTTGGGGAACTTTTATGGATGGATACTGACTTTGATGTCAGGGCAACAACGGAGCAAAAGCAATTTTCCCCTGTCAGATCTCTGAAGCTCCAAAGAAGGACTCTCACCCTTAGGGCGGAATATCTTTCAGAGGAGGCCTATCATGGGACAGTTTAGGCCATTCCACTTCCTTCTACGTCATGGTGCTACGTCCCTTAGGACTTCGCTAGTGGGATATCACTCGTGACCCCCAGGTCACACGCCAGAGAGATCAAAATAATTTGCTCCAATCACCAGCCACCTTCCTCTATAAATGCCCCTGCACAAGGCCGCACCCCCTCTTTCACTCTGGCGCCGTTTGAGATCTACCACAGTACTTACTTCATTCTGAGATGTCTTCCTTGTTCGTCCGAGTTCCCTTCGCCCTCCGGCGTCGGACGTCGTCACTGGATCCAGACGGTGGAGGACTTCACCTCTGTGGGTGCCACCACTCGAGGAAGGAGGAGGATGCAACCCACGTTGTGCCCGCGGATGGACCCTTCGTCCATTACGCGACACGTGAGTGGCCAAAGCCCCTAGCAGCCGAGAGGCCTGCTCTGGGGTACGACATATACTGCAGCGGGCAGGACTGGTCCTGGACCGGTGACCGAGGATTCAGTCCGCAAGGCCCTGCAGCCCTCCGCATTCGTGTGGCCCGGCACCAGACCTCTCCTTCCCTCCGAGCGGGACAGGATGTCTTGGCGATGCCGGATAGATGTTATGCCATTGCAGCACAGGTGCTCGCATTGACTAACAACATGGCATTCATCACGGGGGCCCTGGATATGTTGCTCTCTTCTGACCAGGCGCTCAGTGGAGACCTCCTGTCACAGACGAGGACCACCTCGGCGGCGACTCTGCGCATGTGCCAGACGCTAGCTGTGGATGGTGGCCGCTCCATGGCAGCAGCCCAAGTCGGGCCAGGCACCTTTGGCTTGGGCTGGCTGATATCAGCGAGGCGGAGAGGAGGCAGCTGCTGGACCTGCCCATCTCTCAGATGTCCCTCTTCAGCCCGGACATGCAGGCCTGGGTGGCGAGACTGGAGTCTGCAGCTAAAGACTCGGCTAGGCTAGCCCCGCACCTAGCACCGAGGCGCGAGGCCCACCAGCCATTACGGAGCCGGGACAGAGGCAGAGAGCGTTGGCCCGGGAGGCATCCTGACCCGTATCCGCGCTCTGTTATCCATCGTCCCCCCTCGACGAGGCCCCCGGGTCCAGACAGACCCATGGGTGGCTCGCGGGAGCAACGCACCCACCACCGACCTCCCTATGGTAGAGGAGGCCGGGGTGGAAAAATTTTTCCTTCAATAAAGGCCGACCGGCATTTCATCATTACTTTTCTGAGTCTGATTTGGGGGTATGTAACATGTCAAATATTGTGAATTCTGATTGTGTTACTTCCCGGGCGCATAACGTTGCTTCGCTAGGCCTGCAGCCCCAGAGAGGGGCGTGCAGTGCACTACGCGAACTACGAGCTCCGGTTTCTCTGATCCATACTATGCCCTCCCAGAGAGAGGTCAGGCGGAGGGATCTGGTAAGTGATATGTGTGTGCTTCGGCCGAACGCGTGTTAGCATCTCTGAGCTACAGGGCTAACACGGGGTCTCCCACTCCAGGGGCTCGCCCCCCCCTCCATGAGGCAAGAGCCAGGGGGGGGCACAGCAGCCGAGTCACGTGTGGTGAGCAGAGCTACAAGGCTAACACGGGGTTTCCCACTCCAGGGGCTCGCCCCCCCCTCCATGAGGCAAGAACCAGGGGGGGGCACAGCAGCCGAGTCACGTGTGGTGAGCAGTCCCGTACTTATGACGTCGGGCCTGCAGGACACGTGACCGCCCCCGGCGCTCACGGTGTGACGCAGGGTGCCCCCCCGGCCCTTTCGTCCACCCCCCCTCCCTGCTAGGAACACCAGGAGAGGGCGGGGCCGTGACGTCTCGTGTTCCAGCTCCCGTTCCGCTCCTCACAGACTTCTACAGCATCTGGAGGGAGCAAAGATGGCTGACATATCAATGGCTGGAGAGAACATTGCGCAGGGGTTGCGCACTGCAATTCTCCCAGAAGCCACCACCATTCCGAGGCGTACGGGCAGCACGCTCTCAGGTACGGGGTCATTAGAGGCACTGCAAGCGGAGGTCTCCTCTCTGCTGAGTCTAGGCGCAGCAGTAGAGGTAGACCCGCAGGAGGCCACCAGGGGGCTGTACTCCCCTTACTTCTTAGTGCCAAAGAAGTCAGGCGGGGTGCGTCCCATTTTGGATCTTTGCGTGTTGAACGAGTGCATTTCCAAACGGCAGTTTCGGATGCTGCCCACAAAGCAGCTCCTCGAGTGTGTCAGGCAGGGAGATTGGATATCCTCCATAGACCTGACAGATGCGTACTTCCACGTGCCGATAGTACCGGAACACAGGAGGTTCTGCGCTTCGCAGTGGGAGAGAGGAATTACGAGTACTGTCGTTTTCCCCTTGGGCTACGCACTCGCGCCGTGGAGCAGGGGTAAGAATTTAATCTACATAGACGTCGGGTTAATTCTGGCCTCATCCAGGGAAGTGGCCGTGAGTCATACGCACTGGGTCCTGTCCCACATACAGCGCCTGGGCTTTGTGGTGAACAGGGAGAAAATTAACAGTTACCTATTGTAACTTAAGTTCTACGAATAGGTGCACGTGATATCCCACTAGCGAAGTCCGCTAGGGGACGTAGCACCATGACGTAGAAGCAGGCTGCAACCGGCTCAGCGCATGATCTATCTCGGTCTGCAGCTAGACTCTGTGACATTCCGTGCTGCATGGTCCGTGGACAGACGGATGAACACTACCCGTCTGCTCGGGGAGGTTCTGGCGGGCCCCAGAGTCCCCGCTCGGCGCCTCAGGTCCCTGCTGGGAATGATGGCGGCGGCTCATGCTGTGGTGCGGCTAGGCCTTCTCCACATGAGGAATTTTCAGAGGTGGTTCTCACGCCTCAGGCTTCACCCCTCCCGGGACGGGGGGAGGCTGATCTGGGTTCCCCAAGTGGCAGCATCGAACATCAGGTTCTGGCTCACTCCGGGTCTTCTACGGGACGGAGTGACTCTGGCCGGCGCCGTGTCTCACGTGGAGATGTTCACGGACGCGTCGCTCGAAGGATGGGGCGGGGTCCTCGGCCAGAGTTCTGTAGGAGGCTGCTGGTCGGACTCAGCCCGTCACATCAACCTGCTGGAGATGGAGGCAGTGCACAGGGTACTGCTGCACTTTGCTCCTCAGCTGCAGGGGAGACACGTGATGGTGCGCTCAGACAACACCACAGTGGTCTCCTATCTGAACAGGCAGGGGGGCACCAGGTCCCCCGCTCTCCATCGCATGGCGAAGGTGACGCTGCTGTGGGCGGCGCTTCACCTCCTGTCTCTCAGGGCGCGCCACGTCCCGGGGGTCCGGAACGTGGGGGCCGACAGGATGTCCAGGGGGGGGGGCCCACTCCAGGACGAGTGGGGCCTGGCCCCAGGGGTGGCTGCGGAGATCTGGCGGAGGTTCGGCCGTCCAGTGGTCGACCTTTTTTCGCCAGTGCAGGAAACGCACAGTGCCCGTCCTGGTTCGCCTCAAGGGCCGCGGACCAGCCGCCTTTAGACGTGGACGCTCTGGCTCATTACCCCTGGCCAGGGGGCCTGCTGTACGCGTTCCCCACCAGTGCGTCTCCTGCCGGTCCTGCTGCGGAGGATCGAACAGGAGAGGAGGTCGGTGATCCTGGTGGCGCCGGACAGTCCGCATGCCCGGTGGTTCCCCTTCCTGAGGGGCATGGCGGTGATGGAGCCCTGGGCCCTCCCGGACGAGCCGGGGGCTCTAGTCCAGGGGGGGAGGAGCCCTGTTTTCACGCCCGATAATCGGCCGCAGACTCTGGGTTGGAGGCTGAGAGGCGGAACCTCGTAGACCTGGGTCTTCCCCCTGCGGTGGTGGAGACCACTCAGGGGGCGAGGGCGCCGTCCACTGTGAGGGCCTACGCCACGAGGTGGAGGCTTTTTAGCGACTGGTGCGGTTTTCGTTCCTGGGATCCCAGGCGTTGCCCGCTGGAGGGGGGCCTGGGATTCCTACAGGAGCTCTTTGACAAGGGGAGGGCTGTCGCCACCTTGGCGGTGTTCGCGGCAGCCATTACTTCGGGTCACGACGGATTCGGGGGGTTCACAGCCCGCTCTCATCCGTTGGTTAAACGTTTTCTGCGGGGGGCACGCAGGAGGAGGCCCCCGCTCCAGAGAACGCCCCGGTTTGGGACCTCAGGGTGGTCCTTAGGGGGCTGTCGGGTCCGCCTTTTGAACTGGCGGCGGAGGCGAGTCCCGAGTGTGTCGCTTTAAGACGGCCCTCTTGTTGGCGTTGGCGTTGGCGTCTGCTAAGAGGGCGGGCGACTTGTGTGCGCTCTCTGTCCATGCGTCTTGCCTGTCCTTGGAGAGGGCAACGGCATGGTGGTATTGTGGCCCAATCCGGCTTTTCTCCCCAAGGTCATCACGTCGGCCTTTAGGTCGAGAGTCATCAGGATTAGGGCTTTCTATCCGCCACCGCATGCCTCCCCCGAGGAGGAGCGGAGGCACCTTCTGTGTCCTGTCAGAATGCTGAGGCATTACCTGGCCATGACGTCGTCATTCAGGTTGGGTGGCCAGCTGTTTGTGTGTCTGGGCCCCAAGAACAGGGGCGCCCCGCTGTCGGCTCAGCGGCTGGCGCACTGGGTTGCCACGGCTGTGCGGCGGGCGTATCAGACGCAGGGTCTGGCCCTCCCGGTGGGCTTCAGGTCGCATTCCACGCGTGGGATGGCGGCCTCTACGGCCCTTCTCAGGGGGGTGTCGGTCGAGGACGTCTGCCGTGCGGCTTCTTGGGCGTCGTCCTCCTCTTTCGTCCGGTCTTATCTTTTGGATGTGTCGGACCGGTCGGTGGCCCATTCCGTGCTGAGTGCAGCGGACTGAGTTAGACCGTTAGGTCCCTCCTCTGAGGGGGCCTTCGGTTTACTTTCCGCCCTGGTTCAGGAGCTCTTGGGAGAGGCATCCTACAGGTGCGGTACATATATGTGTGTTTTGGTCGGTCTGGTAGTCCACGTCAGGAGCCCTTGGGAGAGGCGTCCTGTGACTACGGATGACCTATATCTGTGTTACGTGGGGGTATCCTTGGTAGGAGTGGCCCTGTAACACGCATTGTTTCTTCTGCCCTGAGTCCTCTCACTTGTGAGGGTCTTGCTCGGGCGGAACTCCAATCACCCTTCGCTGGCCTGCTGGGAGTACATTTTCCTACGGCCTCCGCGTTGTGTCCCACTAGCGAAGTCCTAAGGGACGTAGCACCATGACGTAGAATTAATAGTTACTTAATGTAACTTAAGTTCTACGAATAGGTGCGTAGTCCCTTAGCTACGAGCCCATCAGGCCAGCCCGGCTTGGCAGAGTTCAAGAGGGGGTGCGGCCTTGTGCAGGGGCATTTATAGAGGAAGGTGGCTGGTGATTGGAGCAAATTATTTTGATCTCTCTGGCGTGTGACCTGGGGGTCACGAGTGATATCCCACTAGCGAAGTCCCGGGACTCCTGTTAGTGCCCAGAGTCAGGACTAGACAGGGGGAGGCTGCTTTTCAGATTTATGCAGCTGGAGTCTGGAACGGTCTTCCTGAGGATGTGAGACTGGCTGCCTCTCTGTCAATGTTCAAATCCATGTTAAAGACTTTTCTTTTTTCCCGTGCATACAACTAGAGAATTTTATCTTTTTAACACACCTTGTTATTTATTGTTGTAACTTTTTGTGTTTTTAACTATTTTATTGTTTTTAATTACTTGTGTGATTTTTATGTTTTTAAATTACTTATGTGATTTTAATGCTTTTTAATTGCATATGTGTTTTTAATTGTATTTTAATGGTGATGATTTGTGCATTGTGTGGTGTGGACTGTGAGGCGCTTTGTGTTGCCCTGTGCAGGAAAAGCGCCCTATAAATAAAGATTGATTGATTGATTGATTCGTAGAACTTAAGTTACATTAAGTAACTATTAATTCTCCCGGGATAGTACATGTACAATGAAAAAACAGTGTTATGTCCACATGCACTGTGTTCAGTTCTTTCAATTAGTTTTACTTTTTTTAGTTTTACTAACCAGCAGTTTGTTTATTATCCTTTGTTTGTTGAGATTGAGCACTTTTATTTTGCAGGACACAACACATTATATATAGATTTTTTTTTTTTTTTTTTTTTTTATTATTA